AGGGAAATTTGGCTTGGTCTTACAATTATGTGCCTGCCTGCCATACTGCAGAGCTGCAAACCCCATTTTAATGGGGTGTTGCAGAGCTCCATAGTGCAGATCCAGGGTTTCCTGTGTCCGGCAGAGAATTTCTGGAGAGCTAAGGTTTAAAACCTATGAAATGTAAAAAAAAAAAAAAAAGACAGTACGGAATTAATTCAACAGGGTTCTACGTTTTCAGCATGTGAAACTTTGTGGTGCCAAAATGATATATTTGTTCTCTTTCAAAATTCATCTCTGGAAATCAGAAGTAAAATCCAATGTTAATGCCAGATTGTAGTTTAAAAATGAGATTAAGGAAAATGTGCAACGGTGGGTGTTGGATTTGGCCCATGCTTTCCGTGGGGCTCCCTCTGGATGTTGGCAGCTGCGCACAGCATCACCTCAAAACCCTGCCGGGGATGCCAGCTGTGGAGGGACGGGTCTCCCCGCCAGCTGCCGATGGGTATCCCAGCACCCGTGGCCAGCAGCAGGGCTCGATGCCCTACCCCTACGGGGTGTGAGCAGGTCCCCGGCCCTAGAGGTAGACAGCTGGGGCAGGTGGGCACCCGATGGCCCCCAAGGCCTCCCCCAAGGTCCCCCATGCACAGCCCTCACCCGTCTTCTCGCATATAGCCCAGCCAGCCTCATGCCTTGTGGTTGAGCAATGTCCTCATCTGGTGCACTGCTGGGCAGAGATGCACAACTTTTGCATTTCTTGAATTTTTGTCAGCCCTTGCGCACCTTGCAATCTTTCGTGCCTTTTTCTTTTTTTTTTTCTCTGCAATATTTTACTTTTCTGGTCTCATTCTCGCAAATACAGCTTACCCGTGATCTATCTGTTGCAGTATATAGCTCGATCTTAGAAAGAATGGATTTAATTAAGGAGGCGATCTGTTTCTGGATGCAAACCGAGAAAATGTCTTTACATTTCTGCATATGTTTAGGTGTATTACAATGGCTACCATGGTGACACTTCTGAAACCTTTTTGGTGGGCAATGTGGATAAATCTGGTCAAAAGTTAGTGGAGGTTGCCAGGAAATGTAGAGATGAAGCAATTGCAGCTTGCAGACCAGGGGCTCCCTTCTCTGTAATTGGAAACACAATCAGGTAAGCCTTATATTGACAAGTAAAGGGAGGGCTGGCAAGTGGGACAAAGGTTATTGGTGGTTTGGTATAAAGCTGATGACATGTTTTATGATTCAAAACCATCACTTCAGTCTGATATCAGTATGTGAACTGCCAAGCTATAATGTTGTTCCTTGGGTAAGAGAGATTTTTTTTTTTTTTTAAAGTGAATTACAGTAGGGTCAGCAAAGATAACTGTAGAAAGAGTCAAAGATATTCATAAGGTAGATTTAAATTAACAGATGGAATTTGCGGTGGGTTTTTGTTTATTTTTTTATTTGTGTGTGAAACTACACCACATCTGTCTAACGATGTAAGAAGGTTAGAAACCATTGTTTTCATTGAATAGCAATAACGAATGTTACAAAGGAATTAGTCAACATAAATAAGTCTCTTTGTTTAAAAAGTACAAAAATATTTAACTCGAGAGCTTCTGATCTTACAAAGAGCAGTGCATGCTAACATCACAGGGAAAAAAGAGCTCACATTCAGAGGTTTTTCCCTGTTTTGCATCTCTTCTAGCCTTCGCATAAATGCAGTCACGACTCTTCTTCTGCTGGTGCTTTTGAATAAAAATACGGCTTAGTTTTTTGAAGGTACCTATGGATTATTTTAAAATGTTTGCCAAAAAAAAATAGGCATACATCATATACATTTCATCAAGCAATACTTCACTGGACTATTAATGGTCCCAACATGCTATTGAATACATTCTGATTACTTAAAAGCTGCAAGGCTTAGTCACCTTGAAAGGATGCTGCTTTTTTTTCTTTGTAAATCTTCAAATACTTTAAGGAAAAAAGAGAACAGCAAAATATCAGTTAGATGTATTTATAGCTTTAAAAATATTGTAACAGAGTCTGAATCAAACTTTAGTAAAACCTCTTTGGGTTATATCTGAGAAGCTTTTATTGAAGACTTTGTATAAAATTGTGTTTTTGACAGTTTTAAATTATAGGCTAACTAGCCTGGAGAAAAAGGATAGTGTCTTTCTGTTCTTTCATAGGAAATGTTGAATCAGACCCCTACTGGGAAAAGAAATTTAATGCATATCTCACTATCTTACTGTCCATGAATATAATAGAAGTGAATTCAAAATGTAGTTTTATTTTTGCAAATGGGATGAGTCGATAGATGCACCTCATATTTTTGAACACCTAGGGTTCAACAAATTTACTGGTGGTGCTCTTGCATTTTAACAAAATTTATTCTTGAGTAGAAGGGGGCACAGAACACTGGATTCTTATTCAAGCATTCTATCGAGCTCTGCATTCATGGCTGTGTCTAAAGGGCATGTCAGCCTTTGATTCTCTCTGAGAGGTAATTATCCTTTTCCTGTCACGGAACAACAAATGATAGCTAACTACAGAGGCACATTTGCAGTAGTCACATTCATCAACTGCAGAAAAAAAATTCAATTTAATTGTGCAACACAGCTGCACATAGGCTTTTTGAGCATTTCTGTTGTTCTCCCTGTCTTGCTATTCCTCCCTCCAGATCTATTTTTTAAACTTTTTTTCTGGTTATTTTTTTCCCCCTTTTTGTCTCTTCTTCCATTTTTACTCTCTGTACTTTCTTGTTAAAGTAATTTTCCTTTGTGGCTCTCATTCTTTTTTCCCCATTGAAGGCTATGAATGTAGAAAATTATCACAATTACTCATATAATTGAGCCTCTTTGTAGCAAGTGCAACTCCAGTAGCCTTTCTCCATCATGAAAATGGTTTCATTATAGGGTTTTTCATATTCTCTGACACCATCTACACAGAGGAACAGGCGTGCAGATGAGATGTACTAGGAACAGGGTAGATCAGTAAGGTCACAGTAGGAATAATTAGCTCTGCTATGGAAAGAGCATCTAGGCCTTTTACTGCTACATAAATGTACTGTCCGTGGCTTTTAGTCACAAAAAAACTTACTAACAAATGGAGCTCCCGCCTACTACTTTGAAAAAAAGATTTGTATCAACACTACAATTTTCCATCATTAAGACTAATAACACAGAGCCTAGTATACATCAAGGGGAATAAAAAGAAAAATCTCACATTCAAGTGGCGGCTGGGTGCTGACCTTTGTTCCCTTTTTTTGTGTTCAACTTAACTCTTTACAAAAAAGAGCCACACGCCACACCAACATGCAGGTGAACTCCAGCTAGTGCTAGCAAAGCATGGCATTCAATTGGAAAATCTGATAAATCTCCATGCAGGATAATGCATTTCATTACAGATTCACTACATTAATTCTAGCTGTATTAAAAAAAAAAAAAAAAAAAGAAGAAGAAGAAGAAGAAAAATAACAGAATTGGATGTGACATTGGATTTTTGCTGTGTTGGTACGGAGGTCAGTTTACTTGCAAAGTGTAAATATATAGTCAGCGCCCCCTTTGAAAAGCAGATTAATCAAAGCTAGTAGGTGTTCAAAGCTACATATGAAATAGCAGGTCATTAACTTTATTTCTCAGGATTTTATCATGTAGATGATTTAAATGTGCTGATTTGTTTAGAACTACTTTAACACTGCCTCTGCTGAAAGGTCGCCTTGGTTTGGTGAAGCTGTGTGGTTATTTGTCATTTGACATTTGTGTGCAGACAGACATACGTACATAATACATATATCAAAATCTTAACTTTCAGGAGAGTTAGATGTCATAAATACCTGAGAACAAGCGTGTACAAGCTGCAAACATTTAGGCCCATCAGAATGGAAATCTGTCTAGGTTTCTGTCATCAATATTTCCTATAAAGCTGCTCAAGTGATATGCAGAACGTATCTTAGGCACAAATAATCAGAATATTTCCTTTCTACAATAGGTTTGGGAATAATTATATTGCAGAGGTAAGTTTGCATTCAGTATTCTAACATAGTCTTTGTTATGGAAGCTTGATAGCTGACACTGAGTATTTCTTGGATAGCAGTTCCTTCTCGCATCAGCTACAAGTTGCAAATAAAAGATTACACGGATTCATGAGATACTTTGCTTAGAAAAATTTGAATCTTTGCTAACCTGTTCTTATTGAAGGTGATGGCAAAACTGTCAGTCAGCTCCAGTGGAAACAGAATTGGGCCCCATATTCCATTTTGTTCTACCATTTCTGACATTTCTCTTTCAGACAGAAACAAATCGACTTTGAAATCTACTTTTTAGACAGGGAGTTTAGGTATGTGGAAGTGTTGTGAGTGCAGAGAGCTAAAAAACATAAACGTGATATTGTTAAATAAACCAATTTCCAACTCCTAGGAAAAAAATAGTAGTGATGAAAGTATTAATAAATGGTTTAAAATGTTTAACTCATAAGTATATGTTTTGATATTAATTTAGAACAATATAAAGCAGATTTAAAAAAAAAACTGTTTCTATCAGATTATGCACATTTAAACAATAAGTGGCTCAGGCAAAATAAGTCATTTTAATGTCATCTGTGATAGATTTTCCTTGACAGCTACTGTAAATTACAATTACACTGCTTCTCTCTGCACTTGAAAGTAAGCATTGCAATAAATTATCTTTTATTTCAATCCATCATGTCTGCTTTCAGAAACAGAGAACCTCAAATAAAAGTTCAGCACTATTGTAAGAAAAATACAGTAATTTATGTTCCAGTTTGAAACTAAAATGTACCTTTCTTTCAAAAAACAATTGTTGGCTTTCAAAAATATTACTAATTATACCTCAACATTTATTGTCATTATAGGGAATCCCTGAACTTGTGCATTCCCTCAGTCTAGGATTACTATTTAAGAGAAAAATACTTTAATATTTTCCCAGTAGAATTTTGTAATTTCTCAAATTCAATAATACGGTACTATTCAAAATCAATATTTTCATCACAAGCAAATCTAGTTTAGGCTGATGCTGTTTTCAAGAATTAAAAAAAAAAAAGCAAACATGCCATTCAGTGGTCATTTTGCTAACAATGTATCTAAGAAAAACGTGATTACTTCTCATTCATTAAAAAAAAAAAAAGATGCATTCATATGGATCCCTAAGTAAGAAAACAATTATCATAGGTCTGTTAGTGCTTTCAGTGTTTCCCAAGCATGTTCACTGCCCAAAAGTGTAAGACAGGTTTGTTTAGCAACTTCAGCCGTTCGTGGCATGCTGCTCTGCGAGACTGTTGTTGATAAAGTTTCATCCCTGGGGAGAGAAGCTGGCACTGGGGGGAAGCGTCCCTAGCTGGGTGTTCAGCCTGGGGAGCGAAGCAGTCTGTGCCGTCTTGTCTTCCCTTGTGCCACCAAGAGCCCAGAGAGGCAGTTGCTGTCAGTGCTGAAAATGGGATTTGTTTCACTTTGTTTCTCTGATGAGGGCTTAGAATACTGGACCAGACCTGTGTTGAGGAAGAAGTGACAAAATTTGGTAAAAAGAAAATAAAATGCATGGTTTGGGGTGTTTGCCCCACCACCCCCCGCAAAAAATGAGAGTTCCAGTCCTAAGACTGAATGGATGTTTTTTCCTCTGGAGCTGGGATGGCTGTTATCCCGTAGACGCTCCTAGAGGCTACCTGCACAAGACCAGCCCCCTAAGGAAATTCTTTTGACCTGCTTTTCAGCTTCTTAGCGGGAGGGATTTATCCCATTCACCCAAGAACTCCTTTCAGGGGAGGCTCCAGAGTATCAGGGAGAGCTTTGTAGAGTCGGTCCTGCCTGTTGCTGCTTTGTGGCATTTTCCCTGTTGGGCTGCTGGCAGTTCGGCAATGCATGTCTCCACACTTATCCCTCATTTCGGAGAGTTAGCTGTTGTCTGGCAACATGGGAAGAGGATGCTCAGGAGGGAACTGACACCCAGCTCTCCTGTCTCTGTCCGCTCTCAGAAGCATGATACCACCATACGAGAGGCTCTGCCTATGGGTTTAGGTGGACAGCCTGGCCCTCAGTGATGTTCCTTTACCAGCTGGGCTGCTGCTGGTCCATCCTGACACCAGACGCTTTGCCTGGCTTTGCCATCGGCAAAAGAGATGCAGCACTGCAGGTTCTCTTGACTCTGCAGCCACTGGGCTGAAACACATGGCAGCAAAACATAAAATCAAGTACTGGGCTCATTAAATGATTATGCTTTTAATCCTGCCCAGTTCACCTCTGCCCAAGCATGCCGCGTGGTTCAAAGAATAAAATGTGTGATGATAAATGTTGTCAATGGATATTTTTAACAATAATTATTCTGAAGAATCTTTTTTTTCTTTCTTGATGCTGTTGGTGCAGCATGGCTCTGCTGCCCCAGCCTTTGCTCTGGAAGTGATTTGGCCAGGGGAAGCCAGGGAAGCCCCATGGCTGAGGCGAACTGGCAGACTGGCACATCCACCCAGCGGCGCAGCTCTCCTTTCCCACGGCAGATGCCAGGCAGCCCAGCTCGGCTGTGCTGCCTCCTGCCTTCACTGCTTTCCCGCTTGCAATCAGGACTCCTCCGGCTGCCTGATCTTACACTGCCTGCCTGCAAGGAGCAGCGCATGGAGCTGGGGCTGCAATCTTGTAAGGTTGCCTTCCAGGGAAGGCTGGAAAGAAAGGCCACCACTGACAGATCCTGAGCTGGGCAATGAGACAGTGAGACCAAAATGTTGAGCTGTTGTCAGCAGCAAATGGCAAACTTGGGGAAAAATGCTCCACTCCATGACATCCCGATTTTGTAACCAGATTCCACAGCCTGGGAGTCCTGGAGGCCAGAGAGGCTGGCCAAGATCAACAGTTCAACTCGCTCTTCTCAGAGCTGTTTCGAAGTCCTCCCTGCCAGCATTTACATGTACATATGCATTTACAGAATTACCTTTGCAAGTTGTAGCTGGGTTAGTAGCTTTTTTTCTTATGAAAGCTGGGTGTCTTACTATAACTCTGCAAGGATGTAAGAGCTCACTGGGATTTTTTAAATACTTCAAAGTAAAGCTAGTAGTTGTGGAGTGAAATTCCCCATAAGGAGCTTCTGAAGCACATGCAAATACTAAAACCAGATTGAACGTGGCTGAGTTTCATACCTGAAGCTTATTTTCTCCACAGGTTTTCTCTGTGTCACTTCAGGTTCATTGGCCACGTTACGTTTTATGTAAAGAATACCCAAGCTCTGTACGTAGGCATTATTAAGTGGTTAGGAGGGGGGGCACGGGCGTCTGTCAGTGTAGATGTCAAAGCCCTGTGAGCTCCAAGATCCCCTATTTTGATCACAGACAGTAACCACCGAGGTACAGATGCCAACAGAATTGTTTCCAAGCTGTTTGGCAAGAAAGTGGCAGAATTCACCACTGAAATGCACGAGAACCTCTTCTTTCACGGCATGAGGATGGGATACTGTCTTAACGCTGCCTTCTGTGTGCCCCGGCGCTCCTGCGCCCGGTGCCCAGCACACAGCTCCTGCTGCTGCTGCTGCCGCCGCTGCTGCTGCCGCCCTCCTCGGCACCCGCTGAATGCTGGGGCGAGAGCTTCCCCTGCCCTCAGGAGAGTATGTAGCCGTGGTGCTCGGAAGAATAGCTTCCCGTCTTGCTACAGAAGGTGGATTTTTGGGGGGGTGAAAATCCTGTAATAATACAAACCATTTCACAAACCGACCATGCTCTTTCAGTGGACAGGGATATTGTGCAAGGGCATCAGCAAAGCTGAATAGTCAGTGGGATTGTACATGCTTTTACAAAAAGGCTTGCAGAAGAAGGTGAAAGAAAAGCTTGTCACATGTTGCATGGACAGCTTCTCCCATCTCTCTTCAGAGAATCTCTTCACCCATATGGGAATCATTATATGCATTTCTCTGGGCTTGGTCACCAGAGATCTATTTTGTTTTGTGATGTTTCTGAGTAATCTGGCTTTCTAACTCCTCACTGTTGCCCATGCTTCTTCCTTGGCCTTCAGCATCATCATAGCCAGTGCGCCGAGTGTCTGACCCAGACGTGGGTGACATGATAGAAAGGCATGGGAGAAAGTCTTTTCCATTGCTAGTAGGACTTTTCACTGCATAAATCTTCTTTTTTTTTTTTTCCACATAAATGATGTATAAGGTAAAAACCTGGACTTTGAATGCAACCAAATGAAGCCCAACTTCTAGCCCTATTGGTAACCCTCTTTGCCAGTACTTAGGAGTTTGGGGGCAGCTAAACTTGAAATTTCCATTCTTCTCCAGAGTTAATCAAAGAAATGTGATGAGTCTTTGTATCAGGGCGATGGGTAGGTAAAAGCTAATATACAAATCCTGTTAAAATGTGCCCTTAAGCTCTGAACACTGCAGCATTATTAACCATTGACCCAACTCTCCTCTCTGTTTCGCTGTGGTGGAGCACCATGTCCCTCAATTGCAGTGGCATTAAATTCTGGGATGGTGACCCACGGGCACTGGAGCCAGCACCGCAGGGTCTGTGGAGCCTGGTGTGCAAAGGGATTACTGCGTACAGCAAGCTGCAGCTGCTTTGCACCTGAGTAAGAGCCTCCCCGTGGGGTTTAACATGCTTTAATTTCTCTGACGGCTTACACCTTTATTTGAGTTTCTTAACTTCTCCACTTTCCCACCTGTAGTCAAACTCTGAGAAAGCATTTGTTAGGGTGTAAATACAGACAAACCTGAAGTTTTTAAGTGCCTACCTTGATTTAAAACCAACAAATGAAGGTTGTAATGTTGTAGGTGAAATCTTTTCAGGCTAAGTGCCTTCCTGTTTGCTTTTAGAAATAGTGCGGGGGTGATATGCAGGGACAGGGATAGCTTTCTTGTCACTTCTAATCCACCTCCAGGTCCCCCTGAATGTCCACACATTTCTGTTTCGGATGTGGGCAGCCCTCCTGGCTGAGCTGCTTCAAGTCACCCCCTCCACCACTGCTTGAATAGGGGCAGAGCCTGAGGGTGAAGCCTGCAGGCACAGGGTGGCCCAGCAGCCAGAGAACACCTCACATTTCTCCAGGTCCTCTGGATTTTAGGGATCAGGATAGGACTTTGCTTTCCCACCATGGGTAGGGATCAGTGCCGGGACGTGTTCCTGCAGGCAGCTCTCGGAGACGCTCCTCCCTGAGGCAGGCCATGAAGGACAGGACAGATCTCCCAGGCAGAACTGAAATTCCATAATTGTTATGATTTGGTTTTGCTACAGTGGTGATGGGTTCATTAGAAATATGTTGTTAATTAGCGTGAACAAATTTGCTGAAGTTGCAATACATTTTGGTACTGAATGTTTGCAGTATTCTGAAAGGGAAGCAGTAGGGCTCTTAACTCTCCCTGTTGGCAGCAGGACCCTTTCCTCCTGCAGAAAACCTGGTGCAGGCAGTGGGTACGCGGCCCAGCACGGGCTCTGCACGTAGGAAGGACTTGACGGAGGCTGCAGTTTGGTGGTGTGCCAGGGCCTTGGCTGCGTGACTTGGCTGTCCTTTAGCTGTCCCACGTTAAAACAAGCTCCCAGTGAGCTCATGGAAAAGGCTACCCTCCGTCAGACAGGGACATGACATGCTGCCATCTCGCTCAGACAGCAGGGCTGGCACAGGAGCTACCAGCCTCCGCTGGCAGGGCTGTTAACTCTGAAACCTAACAATGGCTCATCGGTGCTAGCTCTGATGGCTGCTGTCCTTCAGAGCGGGCGCAAAGTGGTGACCCGGCACTGGGGTGGGGGTGTGGGCTTGCAGGAGCTGGGTGATGCCGCTGCCACTGCGGGTACCAATGCGGTGGCAGGAGCCAGGGCCGGGGCTGGCTAGCGGAGGTGGTGGTCAGGGTGTGCTCCCTCACGGTGTCCTCTTTGCCCTGCAGCTCCGTGGCGCGGCGGGGCGGCTTCCAGGTCTGTCCCTACTTCTCCGGCCACGGCATCGGGTCGTACTTCCACGGGCACCCTGAGGTGTGGCACCACGGTAAGCGGCCCCCGACGGCCGGACCCGCCTCCCCCCGCCGCCAGCGATGAAATGACTCCGGGGAAAGGGGGGGAAAACGAGCAGAGCCCCCCGCACCCACCCACACTCCCGGTCCCGCGGGGGTGCCCGGGGCGGGGGGGCGTTTCCGCGCTGGAAAACCGGCGGGCAGCCCCGGCCTCGCTTTCTGGGAGTATTTTTCAGGACAAATCACTCTTTTAACGGAGT